ACAGAGCCAAGCAGTTGAGCTGGGAGTCTAACCAAGCTCATTTGAGTCCAAGTCAAGGGCCCTAGTCATTGCCCTTAGGTGCCACTGACTGATGGATTTTGACCAAGGTTAGCAGCCCTTAAAATCTTCCTAGCCATGATTTAAGTTCAATTTGTGGTTCAGGGGGCTACTTTGAAGCTGGTAAATGTATCCACAACAGTGAATATGCTGGGCTTTTTTTCTCATCAGTTAGTTGCTGGGTTTTTTTTAACAGATTCTAATACTGCTGTGTTTATCAGAAGTGGTCCCAAACCAAGGTGAGTGCATCAAGGGAGTGGCCCAGTTTGCAGAACAGCTTCGTCTAGTTCAAAGGCCTTTATAGAAATATATTTCTATGTTGGGATTCACTCAGGGTGGTGGCAGAAATAGTAAGGCAGATATATTAGGGAAATATCAGGGAAAATTTTAGGGGATAGTTTTAAACCTTTTGGGAGGCCAAAAGGTTTTCATAACTTGTAATAATGGAACAGGCTGAAGGTGGCTGGCTCTTACCTTAGAGCATTATGTCACAGGGTAAATATTCGGGACAACCAAAGCTTCCCCAGTTAAGTCTGTTTACCCCACATTCTTTTGTCTCTATACTAACTAGTTTGTTTACCCATTAACCTTCGAGCTGATGGGCCTCTCAGGGAGGTCAACCAGGGAGATTACCCCTTAATGGTGTTTGCTCTAGGCGTCAGTACCTGAGCTTTAATCATTTGTAGAACTACTCTCTTACCCCTGTTAGTTATCCATGAGTGTGTTTATTCAAGCATTTGTTATTAAATCTATACTGAATAAAAGCAAGGAAGGACAACTAGTAGGTGTTGCATAGCTGCCATTGCTTTCTCTGTGAGCAGCTTATGACCCTCTAGCGCACTGGTGCCCTGGAATTTCATGAGTGTATTTGTTCATCCATCACTGAGCCAGGGTCTGCAGGACAGACCCCCACAGGGTAGTGACCCCGACATGACCAATGTCACATTGCATAACGTCCCTTGGTTCCTTATCTTACACTGGTCAATTTTAAGTCACCAAGCCACCCCTAAATATAAACCTCAATCTTTGCTTTGGTTTAAAATAATCTATTCCTATTGTGCTGTGGCAGAGGCTGGATCAACTACAGCTGTTATCTCCTGTCTAAATTATTATCTGACTGTTGTACTAATGTTTGTCGAGTGCTCACTCTGCATCGGATGCTGTACCAAGTGCTTTCCATGTGCTACGAGATGATCTAATCCTCTCACTAACTTCGGGAGAAGGGTGATATGTTTATCTCCATTTTACTGATGGGGAAATTGAGGTTTAAAGATTCTAAGTAACTTGTTCAAGGTCTCACAATTAGTAAGTGCCAATGCTAGGATTTGAACACAGAAGCATAACTTCTGGCCTCAAATTCTCGACTGTTACTCTTCAGCACCGAGGAACGGCCTCCTTCCTCCCCCCTCACTAAGTGATGTTCTCCTTCTAGACCCTACACAAAGTTCCCCTCCATCCAACTGAAGTATCCCAGAGCACTACAACAGGGTGACACCTGAGTATTCTCCTAGTCTAAAACTTTCTTAAATAAATTTTTTAAATTCCTTTGAATTCTTCAAAAATAAAGAAAACAAAGACCCAGAAAGGCAAAGTGATTTGCCCAAGGTCAAGCAGTGAGGAAGGGCTTCCCCCAAATGCTCCCACATTCTCATCCGCATTTGGTGATGGAGGCCTTTCAGGCTTGGGCCGCTCCAGGACTCCCTTCCCTGAGTCCCACACTCCTTCCTCGTCTGCCAACCCTACTTCACTCCCATCTTCAGCCTCTCCCTTCAACACCATCCATAGGCTCCTACTTTCTTATGCACTTTCCACAGTTCCTTCCTGCCTTAGCTTTTCTCAACTCAGACCCGCATCTCACGGATGCAGATGCAGTTCTTTCCTCCGGTGGCAGGTGGTGGTCAGCAAACCTCCACCCCAGGCCTGTGTGACCAGGACTCATCATTTCTCACTTGTCCTGAATCCCAGCTTCCCATACACTGTCTCTGCATGGCTTTGTGGTAAATAAGACAAAAGCCCTTCCCACTTTTCCTCACATCTGTCCTGCCTGACCTCCCACAGGGTATCTGATCTTTCTAAAATTATTTATTGAATTCTGCTGCCTGGCCTGCCCCCACTACTGAAGAAGATCCAGAGGGAGCAGCCATGGGAGGGTCTACCAGAGCCCAAGGCTGTGCCCCTGCCGCTGCTTCTGTGGGTATCTTGACAGTCTCACTGATCAGGGCCTGGGGCTGACTTCTGATTTCATGCTCCCATCAGTGCCAGATCTGACTTAGTGGTTGGTTGGAGGAGTCAGGAGTTTGAGGACAGGAAGATTCCCAGTGACTTCCACTAATCAGATTGAATTTCATTTCTTACCAGGGCCCGTACACCTGTCCCTGAGGCCATGCTGCTTCTTATTTTCCCTGGGCCAGTTACAGAGAGCCAAGCCTACAGTCTTATTACTCTCCACACATTTATTCATTTGAGAAATGTTTATCAAACATTGTCTTAGTGTGGTCATGCCACTATCACAAAATACCACAGAATGGATAATTTATAAACAATAAACATTTATTTCCCACAGTTCTGGGGGCTGGGAAGTCCAAGATCAAAGCACTGGCAGGTTCAGGTGCCTCATGAGGGCTGCTCACTGCTTCCCAGATGGTGCCTTGTTGCTGCTTCCTCTGGAGGGGAGGAACGCTGTGTCCTCATATGGTGGAAGGTTTAGAAGGGTCAAACTTGCCCCCCCAAGCCCTTTCATAAGGCACCAACCCATTCAAAAGGGTGGAATCCTCATGGCCTAATTGCCTCCTAAACCCCAACCTCATAATACTTGCATTGGTGATGAAGTTTCAACATGAATCTCAGAGGGGACACAAACATTCAATCTATAGCAAACACCCACCTCTTGCCAGGCACTGCGCTCACGCTAGTGACGCACGGTGATTCGGCATCCGCTATTTAACAACCAAGTCCACCAGAGAAGATGGGTGGTAAACAAATAGTCATGGCCACAGATCCAGAATCACAAAAGAAAAGAAGAGCACCAAAGGAGAGCAGCATGATCCCAGGGGAGTGTTGGCCACAGAACCTGGCCTGGACCGGCGTGGAGAGTCTGGTCGGGGAAGTCTTCCCTGACTGTTGCACAGGGCATAATACTCCTCTCCCTGGTGCCTTGCTCCTTGTTCTTCCCAACTCATTTCCCGCCCTTTCCTTCTTTAAGAAAACCAAAGAGAGCGTTCTTTACTATCCCATGCCCACAGACATGCAAATTCTACATCATTTCCCTCCTTTCAAAGTTCTGCCCCAAGTTTTATGACCATGTGTCCACTCTTTCAGGTAGCCTAACTGGCCCCAGCCCACCCCCAAAGCTGGGTCGCTCTCTATTCTCCCACAACATCCTGTGCTTACTTCTGCCAACACATATACGACATGATGTGGGTCTTCCCCCACCAGAGATGAGCATCTAAGGTGAGGACTTGTTCTTTCACCTCTGTATCCCTAGCATTCACCTGAGTGTCTTAGGGGAAAACCTTTGGAGTAATCCTTGATTTTTCCGTTTCCACCTTCAAAATGTATCCATGATCTGACCACCCCTTGTCATCACCATTACCACTGCCCTAGTCCAGCCCCACTCCATCTCCGAAACGATACAGGGCTTCAGGTTCCAATATGGTTGCCATGAGCATCTGAGCATCTGAATCATGGCCATATGTATGAGGTGTACTAGAACTGTAGTACATGGATTTCAAAGGCTTACCATGAAATAAAAGAATGTCAACTATCTCAACAATAATTTTATATAGCTGAAGTGATCATATTTTGGTTCTATTAGGCTAACAAAATATGTTATTAAATTTTATTTTCCCTTTATTTTTACTTTTTTAAATATGGTTACTAGTAAAGTGTAGGTTACACACACTATATTTCTCTTGGATAATGTTGCCCTGGGGAATTTCTCCTTAGCTGATCTCTTAGCCTCCACGCTTGCCTGAGCCCTAAACTGTTCTCCACAAAAGCAGCCAAAGTCATCCTTCAAAGCATAAATGGAATCATCTCGCTCCCCTGCTCAAAGCCCCCCAATGGCTCCTTAGCACATTTAGAATAAAGTCCAAGGTCCTCCCCATGGTCTACAAGCTTCTTGGGAAGCTGCTGTTATCTGCTTCCTGATACATATAGGCCCATATTCCCCACCACTCCCCGTTTCAGTCACTTTACTCCAGGCACACTGGCTTCTGTGCTACTCTTTGAGCAGGTCAGGCATGTGCCCACCAAGAGCCTTGGCTACTCACTGCCAGGAACTCTTGGCCCCTAGATATCTGCAAATCACTCATCCTCATTTATTTCCTATTTCTGCTCAAATCTATACCCTGACCATCCCATCTAAACCAACATCACCTTCCTTCCCCTTCCACCCCAACTCTACTTCTCTACTTTATTTTTCTTCATATGACTTATCATTAACTACTATTCTATCATATAATCTGATCATATCACATATATATATATGTTTAAGGACAGAAGGATCTTGCTATATCCCATGCTGAAATGCAGTCGCTATTCACAAGTGCAATCGCAGCACACGATCGCCTCAAACTCTTGGACTCCAGCAGTCCTCTTGCCCCAGCCTCCTGAGTATTGGAGCTACAGGCACAAGCCATGAATATTTTTATTTGCTTGTTTATTCACTTATTTTCTATCCCCTCCCCAATAATATGCAAGCTCTAAGAGGACAAGAAGTTTGGGTCTTCAGTCTCTGATGCTCAGTGAACATTAGTTGAATGAATGAATACATGAATTAATAATAGTGGGCATTCAAACATGAAATAATTGTTGATCAAATGAACAAATGGAGCAAGAGTTCTAAGGGGTCTAAATTAGGCTGCCGGAAGAGCAGGGGTAAGGTGTGGTCAAGTTTGGGAACCACAGGCATGGAAAGAAAAAAAGGGCACAGACACCAGTCAGAACTTTTCATGAGTATATTTATTAACTCTCACTCCCCTCAGGCAAGGCTGGGTTTTGGTGAGGGAAAGGAAAGACCCTCGTTGGGGACACTGCTGGGTAAAAGGTCTTCAGAGAGCTTCCTACTCTTTGTGGATATTTTCATGGGAAGCCTTCAGCACAACGGCCAACAGGGATATGAATTCCTGGAAGTTGACCTGATTATCTTGATTAGCATCCAGATCTTGGAATGTTTTGTCAACAGTAGCTTTATCTTTGGCATTCTAGGAGGAAAGGATAACAGAGACCTTGAGCTCGGAACCTCTACACAAGACCCTTTCATAGGCCTCGTACCCCTCAGAGCTCAGGTTAGGGAGACCCAGGCACATTAACTCGTTAGCCAACACTGTGTTGGAGAATCCAATGTAACAAAACAGAAGACACCATGGTCAGGAATTACCCTGGATTTAGCAAGGCTTGACCTGGAAGGGACTCTTCAGCTCACTCATTCAGCCCCTCCCATGCCCTGCCTCTCTCCATTTTACATGGGAGGAAACAAACCCAGAGAGAGGGAAAACTGAATAGAGCCTTAAGTGAGTTATTGAGAGAGGGAAAGACCCACTCCCACAGCAGCAGGGAGAGCACCCTTGGGCACTCAAACCTGGGCCAACCCCACCCTAGTCCTTGTCTCACCATCCTCCCCCAGGCCTTGCCACTCCCCTCAGTGCACGGGGGTGGGAGAGTTTAAATTGAGAGGGGCATCACCTACCTTGATGAGGTTTACAAGCTCCTTTGCCATCAGCTGCTTCAGCTCACCCTTAGAGAGGGTGTCAAAATTCCCCGTCCGAACTGAGTATTGGTGGAAGATATTGACGATTCCCTCCAGGTGCTCCTCAAGTTTAGTCATCTTCCCAGCCTCACGTTAACCTTCAAGGAAACAAGGGAGGTCTAGCAGCAGTTTCTCCCCCACCCCTCAAGATCCACTCTCCCCTCTCTTTCTGAATCAAGGGCCTAAAGAAAGAATAATAACCTCCATATCTACTTTGTGGTCTCTCTGCTCTGCTTGATCCATGGTGAACTTCTCATGTGTAGATAGGATGAGGAAGAGAAAACATATAATACTGTCTAACGTCTGAAAGAATCAGCCTCAGTTGGCCATGTTGCATACCACCTCATCCACCAGGGAGCATAACGTGGAGGGTATTGCTTACTCAAGCTCCCTTGGGAAGGGTTCTGTGATTGGCCAGGCTGTTTGCTTCCCTCAGGTGATGGCACTATGACACCCATGCTTAGCCATTCTTAAGTCATGGGGCTGAGTGTACCTAGCACAACAACAGCTGGCTTACTTGGGTCCAAAATGCAATGTCACCGCAGAGGTGCTCACGCAAGTAGAGGGCTGTGGCTTCCAACACCTTGGGATTTCCAAATGGCCACCTGCAGTCACTACCCTGTGGACACCTAAGAACCCATCCAAGAAAAGGGCACTTACCCCTCACTGCACAGGAATGTAGAGCTACAGCAAGAAGCTGGTGGTAGTGAGGGGTACTGACCAAAGGAAGATTTTATAGTCAGTCCAGGCTTCATCTTCACCCTCGGGTGAAGAAATTACTCTGATTCATCTTGCAATTTATGTAAAGTACTCTGTTGCTCAAGAGAAGCTTCAAACCTGTGGCTTTGGCTGCCACAAAAGCAGCTCAGACTGTACCCAGCCCAAATCTTACCCTCCTGCTCAACCCAAAACAAAATCCCCCCACCCCACCCACCCAAACATGGGTGCCCTGCACATTTTTTAGCTCTGAGCCAGGGCCCAGCCTTCAGGTTTAGCTCTACTTCCCTGCTCCCTAATAAAAGACTAGGAGAACAAATTTTACTTCCTGGGTGTCTTGTCTTAACAGATGGGGCTCCTCAGTTTTGGCAAATGGAATATCAATTTAAAGATCTTTACGCAGCTGAGAAGACAGAAAGGGAGACCTCCTCCTAAGTCATCCTGGGATGCAAAGCGTATCACTGGAGTAGAGGATACATTTTCAAAAAAGATTCCAAGGTTTTCAAAAAGGGAGAGAGCAACACTGCTCTGCCTTCCCTTCGCTTTCCCATCGCATTTTCTAACTTGGCTGTTACAAAGACCTAGAAAGCTGGAGTAGGATAATCACTGTGTGTGAAGCAAGTTCACTGCACCTAGGTTACTTACCAAGTTCGTGAGTTGGGTAAGATAGAACACTCAAGCAAGTTTTAGCAAAGCCACTTTATTACTCACAGAGAGGCAGCAAGGGGCAACCGCTGCCCAGGATTCAGGGAGACGTGGTCCTTCAAGACTCAGAAATCTGCCCAGGATGGATGAAGTCTCATCTGTACATTCCCCATGTCACACCAAAGCTGGGGGACATCCAAAAGCGCTCTGCCTTTGGTTTATGCCCCGAGGTTAGTAAGATTGCTGGGCAGCCAAGGCCAAGCCAAAGCCTGTACTGCCATCCACCCCACAACCCAGATCTCCCCCTTAGCAAAGCTAGTTCATTTCACGTGCCCAATGACCTCCCTGGATCTGGAGGCCAAAGTTTGTCTCCAGATCAACATTGTTGAGCCACTGACAGTATTAGTTTCACTAGGCCCAGGAGGACACCATCACAGCAGGATGATCAGGCCTGTGTACATCAACGAAAATGACCAAGGCGAGTCTCAATCATTTTAGGAGGTTCATTTGGGCAAAGCCAAGGATGCGTGCCCATGAGGTAGGTATACGTCCTTCTCCAAAGATGATTTTTGAGGGCTTCAATATTTGAAGGAGAAAGGGTGGATATTGGGGAAAGAGGAAGAAATATTTTTTAAATGTGTCAGTAGATAAGAGACAGGTGATTGCATCCTTTTGAGTCTTTGATCAATCTTTCACTGAATACACAATTTTCATGTAGGAGGGGAGTAGAAAAAATAGTCACTTATGCCTTCGTCTGGCTCAGTGAGTCTGCATTTTTACTTAAGAAAACAAAAATAGGGCAGAGGAAGTGAGCAGATATGGATTTATCTCGGGTAAGCAGCAGGATGAGTGTATGTTCTGTCCTCTGTTCCACACCTGTAAGGACAAGCTATCAGACACTGCCAGGGTGAAATTCAGCAGAACTGTTTCAGGGTAAGGGTCTTGAGACTCACAAGGAATTTCCTTGTGGGCAAATTGTGAGGGTGGCATGTGGCTTTTTATGTTTGCAGCTATCTTATTTAGAAAGCAAACTGGGGGCAGGTTTGCACATCCCAGTTCCCAGCTTGACTTTTCCCTCTGGCTTAGTAAGTTTGGGGTCTGCAGATTTATTTTATTTTTTTACATCTACCTGGAGAAGGGACTAGCCCAGGGTCCCAGCCATCCAGGAAAGAGGTTGCTGAAGAAATTAAAGAAGCAGGGACACAGCCTCACATACAAATATTAACTTCCGATGCAAATGGCCTAAACACTGTGCTTAAAACACACACAGTGGCAAATTGGATGTAAAAACAAGAGCCATCTTTCTACTGTCTTCAAGACACCTGTCTCACATGTAGTGACCCTGTAGGTTCAAGGTAAAGGGATGGAGAAAGAGCTAGCAAACAAATGGAAAACAAAAAGGAACAGAGGTGGCTATTCTTGAATCAGATCCAATAGACTTTAAGCCAAGAAAGTAAAAAAGGGTAAATAAGGGCATTACATAGTGTTTAAGGGTTCAATTTAACAGGAAAATGTATCCTCAGTGAATACACACCCAACAGTGGTGCACCCAGATTTATAAAACAAGTACTTCTGGATCTAAGAAAAGATTTTGACAGCCATACAATAATAGCAGGGGACAACACCCCACTGACATCAGTAGACAGATGGACTTAAATTTGACACTTGACCAATTAAACCTAATAGACATCTGTAGAACAATGCACCCAACGACCACAGAATATGTATTATTTTCATCTGTACACGGAACATACTCTAAGATCAACCACAGGCCCAGTCATAAGGCAAATCTCAATAAATTCAAAAAAATCAAACTCATACCAAAAATCTTGGACCACAGTGGAATAAAAACAGAAATCAATACCAAGAGGAAATCTCAAAACCACACAATAAATGGAAACTAAACAACTTGCTCCTGACTTTTTGGATAAACAACAAAATTAAGGCAGAAGTAAAAAAAAATCTTTGAAACAAACAAAAATAGAGATACAACATATCAAAACATCTGGAATGTACCAAAAGGGGTGTGAGGAGGGAAATCTTTTTTCATCTTGGATGTGGGCAGATCTCATTTTATTTGCAAAAGACTTCATTACAGCATGTTCAATAATGAAGCAGCAGGAGAGTCACTATCTTTTGAACATATGAATATATCAAAGTCTCTTGCAATCCAGGTAGTCAAGAGAATACATGCAGAAAGGGCAGCAATCCTCATTTTTCTGAAAACTTCTGCATTTTAAAAGGTGACTAGGCATACTTGGAAGTGCAAAGCAGCAGGATGTGCCTTGCAGGGAAAGAAGGAGGAAAACCCTTTACCATGTTGTTAGGCAAATATATCACAAATATATCCCAATTCCACTTGATAAAGTCAGTGGGACGACCCCCGTGAACCAGGCTAGGGCAGAACACTTAGTAAAAGTGGGCCCTGGGTGAGGATGTGGATCTAAAAGAGGAGCACCAGATCCCATGCAGTGCCAAACACATCCGGCCCACCCTCTAACACAGACAAGGCACGTCGCCCCCTGTCCCTGGACATGGGATGCACAAGAACAGTCATCAGATGGTTACTGCTCCCGGTGCCTGGAGCTCTCTAATGGTCTTAATTCAGGCCATGGAGAAAATCCTTTACCACCAAATGCAAACTGTCATGGAACTTAAGTCATAGAGGACAGTTATGGTGGAAATTCTTGTAACACATATATAAGGCCTTCTATTTACTTAATTAGAACGATGATCACAGAATTGACGTTCCTGTTTTTATAAGGTTTTGTTCTCTACGTTGGAATGGTTTAAGAAAACGTTGTCTATTTTTGGTTTTATGTCTCACTTTCAAAAGAGAGGGAACTGAGAGAAAATGTGTGACTGACTGCCCAACTTTGGGCCCCTGCAAGTATGAAGGCAGACTTCACTGACTCTAGATCCATCTAGATTTGGGGGAAGTTTCAATACCTAGGGAAGGTTAGTGAAGTCCATTACTCCCTCAATCCTACAGAAAGAATTCTACGGGCCAGGCGCAGTGGCTCACGCCTGTAATCCCAGCACTTTGGGAGGCCGAGGCGGGTGGATCACCAGGTCAAGAGATCAAGACAATCCTGGTCAACATGGTGAAACCCCATCTCTACTAAAATATACAAAAAATTAGCTGGGCATGGTGGCCCGTGCCTGTAATCCCAGCTACTCAGGAGGCTGAAGCAGGAGAATTGCCTGAACCCAGGAGGTGGAGGTTGCGGTGAGCCGAGATTGCACCATTGCACTCCAGCCTGGGTAACAAGAGCGAAACTCCATCTCAAAAAAAAAAAAAAAAAAAGAATTCTACAGCGAATCTATCACAGTGCTCTAGCAAAGCATATGCTGAAAACTGCAGCTTTCAACCTAACGTCTAAATTTTAAAAAGTAGATTTCAGCAACAAACAAGCTCAGGGAGCTCAGCTCAAAAGTGAAATAACAGAACTATTCCTCAGATGTCTGAAAAGTCAGCCTGCTGCTCTCAGCCCCGCCCACTCGAAGGCTTAGGCAGAGCGTAGGGTGGCGGAGGTTCCTTGGCAGCGCCATTGGCAGTGGCATCATCATACGGGGGTAGCAGCACTGTAGTGTCATTGCTGGTGACATAAACCAGGACATCTGAGGAGTTCCTGCCATTGATGTAAAGGTAGCAGTTCCAAACACAGCTAACCAAGTAACCCTTAAAAGTCAGGATAATGCTAATAAATAGAAGAATAATGAAGACCAAACAGGTAGGATTCACTGACGTGACATCATCTCTGCAGGGAAAATTAGCACGCAGTTGTCCTATGTATTCCTGAATGGAGTTTGGATAAACAAGCACAGCGATTGCAGCCAAGGAGTTCACAGCAAAATCAAAGATCTTGTAACAGAGGAATGGGACGATCCGGGCTGCGTGTTGCTTGTATGCTCCGTAATTAGTCATAGCACATATCAGGATCATGAGGAGAGAAATCGCAATGGCAATGCACATGGTGGCATCATCCGTGAACTCAAAGTCACCTCCCACTTCAGAACTCGGAAAGTGATCCTGATCCGGATCAGCCGGGGCACTCAGTAAAAGCAACAGTACCATAGTATTGATGATCGCGTACCAGACACCGAGCTGGGTGGTGCCAAAGCAGACACGGCAGCACAGGCAGCAGCTTTTGGAGTAGAACCGCGTCCAGGGCGCGACCATCATCACTCTGGGCCCAGTGGCGCGAGCGCGCACGGGTTTCCAGGAGCGCCGACCGCCTCGCCCCCCCAGCTGCGCCTCTGCTGCGGTGTCCTCGGCCTCTGCGGCTCCGGGCCCGCTCGCCAGGGCGCCTGCAGACCTCGCCCTCTGATTCCCCCAAGAGGGAATTTTATAACGCCAAATGCCTATATCAAGAAGATATTAATAGAAAGATCTCAAATTAACAACCTAGCCTCACAGCTAGGAATTAAAAAAAAAAACAAGAACAAACTAAACCCAAAGCTAGCAGAAAAGAAGTAACTAAAATAAAAGCAGAACTAAATGAATTGAGAAAAAAAGCCATACTGGCCGGGCACGGTGGTTCAAGCCTGTAATCCCAGCACTTTGGGAGGCCAAGGCGGGTGGATCACGAGGTCAAGAGATCGAGACCATCCTGGTCAACGTGGTGAAACCCCGTCTCTACTAAAATATACAAAAAATTAGCTGGGCATGGTGGTGCGCGCCTGTAATTCCAGCTACTCAGGAGGCTGAGGCAGGAGAATTGCCTGAACCCAGGAGGCGGAGGTTGTGGTGAGCCGAGATCTCGCCATTGCACTCCAGCCTGGGTAACAAGAGCGAAACTCCGTCTCAAAAAAAAAAAAAAAAAAAAAAAAAGCCATACAAAGGATCAGAGAAAGGAAAACGTGCTTTTTTGAAAGGATAAACGAGATCCATAGACCATTAGCAAGAGATCAAAATAAGCACAATCAGAAATGATAACGGTGACATTACCACTGATTCCACAGAATTACAAGAGATCCTCAGAGATATGAACATCTGCATGCATACAAACTAGAAAATCTAGAGGAAATGAATACATTCCTGGGAACACACAACCTCCCAAGATTGAGTCAAGAAGAAATAGAATAACAAGTAATGAAATTGAATCAGTAATAAAACTCCTAATGACAACATCAACAAAAAACAACCCTGTGTCAGATGGATTCACAGCCAAATTCTACTAGATCTACAAAGAAGAGCTGGTGTCACTCCTAAAGAAATTATTGCGAAAAATTGAGAAGGAACTCCTCCCTAACTCATTCTATGAAACCAGTATCATCATGACACCAAAATTTGGCAAAGGCCCAACAAAAAAAGAGAAAACTACAGACCAATATCCCTGATGGACATAGACATAAAAATCTTCGACAAAATACTAGAAAATCAAATACAGCAGCATGTCCAAAAGTTAATTTCCCAATTAAGTGGGCTTCATTCCTGGGATGCAAGGATGGTTCAACATATGCAAATAAATCCATGTAATTCACCACAAAAACAGAATTAAAAACAAAAACAATATGATCATCTCAATTGATGCAAAAAAAGGCATTCCATAAAAATTGAACATTTCTTTTTTTTTTTTTTTTTTTTTTGAGACGGAGGAAATGAATACATTCCTGAAAACACAACCTCTTATTACCCAGGCTGGAGTGCAATGGTGTGACCTCGGCTCACCGCAACCTCCACCTCCTGAGTTCAGGCAATTCTCCTGCCTCAGCCTCCCGAGTAACTGGGATTACAGGCACATGCCACCATGCCCAGCTAATTTTTGTATTTTTAGTAGAGACGGGGTTTCACCTTGTTGAACAGGATGGTCTCGATCTCTCGACCTTGTGATCCACCCGTCTCAGCCTCCCAAAGTGCTGGGATTACAGGCTTGAGCCACCGTGCACGGCCGAAAATTGAACATTTCTTCATGATAAAAGCTCTCAATAAACGAGGCATCAAAGGAACATACCTCAAAATAATAAGAGCCATCTGTGACAAACCCAGAGTCGACATCATACTGAATAAGCCTAAGTTGAGTGCATTCTGCCTGAACTGGAACAAGACAAGGATATCTACTCTCACTATTCCTATTCAACATAGTTCTAAAGTCCTAGCCATGAGAAAGAGATAAAATGCACCCAAACTGGAAAAGAGGAAGTCGAATGACCTCTCTTCACTGACAATATGATTCTATGTCCAGAAAACTCTAAGGATTCTGCCAAGACTCCTAGACCTGATAAACAACTTCAGCAAAGTCTCAGAAAACAAAATAAACCTACAAAAATCAGTAGCATTTCTATATGCCAATAATATTCAAGCTGAGAACCAAATCAAAGATGCAATTTCATTCACAATAGCCACAAAAAAATAAAAAAAAAAACCTAAGAAAACATCTAACCAGTGAGGTGAAAGGCCTCTGCAAGGAGAACTACAAAATTACAGAAACCGGCCAAAACACCCTAGTCTTCATCAACATGGTGAAACCCCGCCTCTACAAAAAAAAAAAACTATAGAAACCACTGAAATAAAGCCACATACCTACAACCAACTGATCTTGAACAAAGTTGGTAAAAATAAACAATAGGGAAAGGGAACCCTATTCAATAAATGGTGCTGGGGAAACTGACTAACCATATGCAGAAGAATGAAAAAACTGGAACCCTGCTTCTCACCACATATAAAAATTTACGCAAGATGGATTAAAGACTTCAATGTAAGACTTTAAACTACTAAAATCTTGGAAAAAACCTTGGAACTACTCTTCTAGACAGGTTCTAGGCGAAAGATTTATGATTAAGTTCTCAAAAGCAATACAACACAAATGAAAGTTGATATGGGACCTAATTAAACTAAAAAGCTTCCACACAGTGAAAGAAACTAATAACAGGGTAAACAGACAATCTACAGAACGGGAGAAGATATTCACAAACTATGCATCTGACAAAGGGCTAATATCCAGAATCTACAGGAAATGCCAACAACTTAACAAAAATACATAAATAAATAACCCCTTTAAAAAGAGGGCAAAAGACATGAACAGACATTTCTCAAAAAAAGAAACAGAAGTAGCCAACAAACATATGAAAAAACTAATCATCAGGGCCGGGCGCGGTGGCTCAAGCCTGTAATCCCAGCACTTTGGGAGGCCGAGGCGGGTGGATCACAAGGTCAGGAGATCGAGACCATCCTGGTCAACATGGTGAAACCCCGTCTCTACTAAAAAATATACAAAAAATTAGCTGGACATGGTGGCGCGTGCCTGTAATCCCAGCTACTCAGGAGGCTGAGGCAGGAGAATTGCCTGAACCCAGAAGGTGGAGCTTGCAGTGAGCCGAGATCGCGCCATTGCACTCCAGCCTGGGTAACAAGCGCAAAACTCGAGATTGATCCAAGATGGCCGACCACTAACCGCTCAGGATTGTAGCTCCCAGTGAAAGCCCAGAGAACGAGATGACGCCACACTTTTGGACGAATTTTCGTCACTCACCGATCAGCCGATTACCAGTGGAGGAGCCCCACGGGTCACCAGCGCGACTCTTGTGGCCGCCGCAGCGGTTTTGCCGGCGTCTGGGCTCAGCAGCTCTTCATGCAGAGCCAACGGGACCGCTTCCCCTACTGACCGGAGTTTGGAGCTCCGGGAAGTCAGAGCCGCTTGTTGCGCACTCAAGAGGGAAGCCAGACCAGAGATTCCCGGGCAGAAGAGCACCATCAGTCTTACCGCTGCTATTTAGGCTGCCACAGTGGGTTGCTCGGATCCCAACACTGGGAATCAATAAGTCGGACGTCTACTCAGAAAACTAATTAGAAAGGCGGTTCATCTACAATGAAGGGAAAAAAACAGCCTAAGAAGGCCGTGTATACTCAAAATCAGAACCCATCAGCAACGGAACAAGCCCTGATGGAAAAGGACTCATCAGCAACCGAACAAGCCCTGATGGAAAAGGACTCATCAGTAACGGAACAAGCCCTGATGGAAAAGGACTGTGTTGCATTATCTGAAGTAGGCTTTAAAAGGTGGATGATAAGAAACTTCTGGGAGTTAAAGGAACTTGTTCTAACCCAATGTAAAGAAACTAAGAACTTGGAAAAAAAGGTTAGATGAAATGTTGAAAAGAATAGACAATATAGAGAGGAATACAAATGAACTTATGGAGTTGAAAAATACAACATGAGAACTTAGTGAAATATGTACAAGCTTAAACAGCCGAATGGATCAAGCAGAAGAAAGGGTATCAGAGGTCGAAGATCAACTTAATGAAACAAAACAACAAGACAAGAATAGAGAAAAAAGGATAAAAAGGAATGAGCAAATTCTCCAAGCAATATGGGATTATGTGAAAAGAACTAATATACGCTTGATTGGTGTACCTGAATGTGACGGAGAGAATGAATTCAAGCTGGAAAATACTCTCCAGGACATTATCCAGGAAAATTTTCCTAATTTAGCAAAGCAGGACACTATTGAACCCCAGGCAATACAGAGAACACCACAAAGATATTCCTCAAGAAGACCAACCCCAAGGCACATAATCGTTAGATTCACCAAGATCGAAATGAAGGAGAAAATATTAAGGGCAGCCAGAGAGAAAGATCAAGTTACCCATAAAGGTAAGCCTATTAGGCTTACAGCAGATCTCTCAACGGAAACCCTACAAGCTAGAAGAGAGTGGGGGCCAATATTCAATATACTTAATCAACAGAACTTTCAGCCCAGAATTTCATATCCTGCCAATTTAAGCTTTACATTTGAAGGAAAAATAAAATTTTTTAGGAACAAGCAAGTACTCAGAGATTTTATTACCACCAGGCCTGCTTTACAAGAACTTCTAAAAGAAGCACTATACACAGAAAGGAACAACCAGTATGACCCTTTCTAAAAATACACCAAAAAGTAAAGAGCATTAACATAAAGAAGAATTTTTATCAACAAAAGGACAAAATAGCCAGTTAATATCAAACGGCAGCAACCCTAAATTTAAATCGACCAAATCTCCCAATCAAAAGATACAGACAAAATCTAACAGTATATCCAAAGATATACATAGACTCAAAATAAAGGGTTGGAAAAAAAAACGTACCAACCAAATGGAGAGCAAAAATAAATAAATAAAAAGCAGGAGTTGCAATTTTCACATTTGACAAAATAGATTTCAAAGCTACAAGGATACAAGGATAAAAGGATTAATGTAATAATAAGAGATCTTAACACCCAGATACATAAGACCCATAATGAGATTTAGATTCAACGAGACAGAAAATTGATAACGATATCCAGGACTGGAACTAAGATCCAGAACA